TTTTTAATTTAATTAATAACTGATGTGAAATTGTTAAAAAAGCTAAAAACAAACTGTTTTTCTCATTTTGACGAAGATTAGACAAGATTCAGAAACAAGTACAATTTTTCCTTTAATTCTTTTGTCAAACGGTCTGAGAAAACTGTTTGATGGAGCGATTTAAAAATCTACAGGGATACATTAAACTGTAAAAACACCTAAAACCATTAGTCTCCCCATGAATATTAGTAAATACGTGGTAGATTTTTTTAAAACAACGCAAAAACTTACTTTTTTCTATTTTCTTTAAATCAATATTAAAAATAATTTTTTTTTTCCAAAATATCTTAAAAGGATCTTATAAGACATTATTTATTCCAGTTTTTGACACTACCCTTATATTCTTTGTGACGTCATTGATATCGATAATCAAAGACAAAAGATCTTTTTCACTTAAAGTCAGATATCTCAGCGACAAATAAACTTAAAAAAAAATTAACGTAAAGAGAATATGAAGAAAGCATATTAAAGATGAACAGACTGTCCGGCCTATGCATTGACTTAACCAAAAAAAAAGAAATCCCACGTCAATGGGCCAAGAAAAAACAAGAAAATTTAGAATTTTTTTTGCGCTATCACTTAGGATTACGAGATAAGCGTAGCACAGAAAAAAATTTTGCCAAAAGATCTCAAAACTAGAAACTTAAAGCTTAAAATACTTTTTTTTAATTTAGATACGAGTACCTACAACCATTTTTGAATGAGTTACAGCCTCTCAAAAATCACCAAAAAATGTAGGAAAATTTTTTGTTCCTTTAATTTTTTGGAGTAGTGTATCTTAATCATTAACTAACTAAAAATGTTGTAATTTTTGAAAGGGTGAACAAACTAGAAAAGATAATCCAATTTTTCAAAATTTGTAATCGCGTTCGTATCGGAATATGTATTACCTTACAGGCGCAGGCCTCGTAAAATTATATGAAACACCCTGTACGTTATTTCTTCTAAATTTTTTTTTTTAAATTAGAACTCAAAGTAAGTCAGTAATGTCAGATTGGCAGATAACCTATATTTAATCAAAATTCAACAAATAAATAAATAAGTTAAATTATTAAAAAAATGTACTATAAAATATGTAAAATAAAAATCATCTCAAATTTGATTCGCAAAATTTTGTGCAGAGAAACAAACAATAAAGTTAAATAAAAACCTATAACAATTATAAAAAATGCAACCGATATAAATACAGTCAAATTCAAAAAAAAGTGGTCGTCAATGTGACATTTTGGCATATAATTAATTACCTATGTAATTACCAATATATTCGCGTACTTAAATTTAAATTACCTGGCATCATAAAGTTTGGTAATTTGTCTTCAAATTGATTTTGTTGTCAAAATGTAAATTATTTATTAGTAGGTATTTCTTAATTTTAGAAATGACATTGACGACCACTTTTATTTTAATTTGACTGAGTTGAATTTTTTCTCTTGATGACTTTCTTTACTGTTTTTTTTAATCAAAATGAAGATGTTATTGGCGTTCCCTAAAATTCTGCCGCCCTGGGCTATAGCCCAACTAGCCCTTACGTAAATATGACAAAGTTTTGTACAATTTATTAAGTCATGTAGAAAAGGCTTTTACGGTCAAAACGTAATTGATTTTCTTTATTATTAAATACTTTATTACTATTTTTTGTTGTTTTTAATAAAAACCAATTACCTACACTTGAGTGCAAAAAAAAACACAAATTGATCTTTTTTATAATGTAATTTGGCCTGTTAATAAATGCCAATTTTTTGACGTAGTTTTTGTCCCAATTCACAATTTCATAATTGTCAGGCATCTTCCAAACTTTTTTCCAAGTTTTTCTATGTTTTTCCATTTCTGTTTTTAATACTGACTACGACACTGCACTGACAAGACCACTAAATACGACATTTCTTTTGATAGTTTTCTAACCTTTTTGCGAACAACCTTTTTCACACTGTAAATCTCTGAAAAATTTAACAATTTTGTTTTTGACAATTTGCGTTTTTTTTGCACTCAAGTGTACTTCTTTATTTTATTATGAAAGAAGTTGATGAAATTCTCAAAAATCGCATTCAACATTATTTCCCTATGTTCGAGTTTGAGACCGAACATCCGGTGTATAATAATTTAAGCAAATAGGTACTTTAAGTTTATTTAATAACAAATTCCTTTTGGCATCGAAATTATTGTACGGCACTGAATTTTGATGAACAACAGTTGTCAGATGTGACAGTTTTTCTTTTTTCGCAAGTAGATCCCTTGATAGTCTTGATACAACAGAAAACAAGTGATAATAAAACGTATTCACTCATTGGTAGTTTTTAAACTCCTCTAGTTTTCGTTAAAGTCTTCTAGTTGTTCCATCTTCGTTTTCTCTCTCTCCTTCTGTTTTGAATATACTATTATTTTTGTTTTCTTCGTCCGTGTTCCAAGTATTTTTCCAGATGTTTAATTATTTTTTTTTCATTCCGGTTTTTTTGATTCACCACCAGCACCATGCATACAGTGCGCCAGAACTCGTGCCCCAGAGAAAAATGTCATGTGAGATAAGATACCAGGAACATGAAAAAAATGTTAAAAAAATTCTATCTATTAAAATTTCAAAGTTATGAGAGTTACAATTTTGTACTTTGATTCTATTTCTGTTGGAAAAATAATTTTCCAAATTTTTTTGCTATAGGCTATTAAAAGAGGAAACAAGGCTGTATCCTAAATTGTATCTCTGTTTAATGTTATTTGTGGCTTTTATTGGCAAAATTTTTTGTACCTTTACTAAATAATTATAAAAAAACATATTCAAGGACATCAGTATCATTAAATAGACATAAAATAATGTCAAATGTCAAAAAATAAATGTCAAAATTTTTTGACATAATTTGTTCCTGGTATCTTATCTTATTTGAAATTTTTCTCTGGGGCGCGAGTTCTGGCGCAGCCTGTATAAGTATACCATCGATCTTTTTTCTACTACTAATTTTGAATAAATGTTTTTGTTTAACTCTATTACTTTTACAAAATTTTTTGAGTAAATAAATAGTAAAAATGAAGAAATGGACAGCATTAGCAAAACTTTTGGAAAGTGTTTTTGCATGAAAATTGTACAAAATTAATTTATAAGCATTTTACATTCCTATTTCTTTCAGTCTCTTCAGTTCGTTATTTTGTGATAACCACAGAAACACAACTATTATTAATTGATTTTAAAATAAATCATTTTTCATCATTTTCACTTATCTTTTTAAAAAATTCTTGTATTTGATTTTGAAGAAAAATGGGAGAAAACAAAACCAAAACCTATTTTATTTATTTTCAATTTATTTCTTCTTTGTACATTACAATCGTTACATATGTAATTAATACATTTACACACAATAAAAGTAAATACACGTGAGGTAAAAACTGTGTAAACAAAAATAATTTGTTTCTAAGCAAAATATTCATAAATGCATATAATATTACATATACTCTTTTTCATATTAATGTGCATCAAGTAGGTTGTAGAGGTCTAAATGAATCTTTAATTTAAAGGCCGATTTACACAAAAAGTGTCATTCATGTCATTCAGAACAAATTTAATCACATCAATAATGACAAAAATCTTTGTTTGAATCCTAAATTTAATTATTTTTTGTTACATGGGGTATACATTTATTTGAAAAAATAATTTGGGTTGGGATTGTTTGAATTTTCGCATGGTTGCCACTTTAAAATGATCTCTTGCACATTAATATGAAAACGAGTATAGTTTTCAGCGCTCAATTTTTAAATCTGATTGTGCAAAAGTAGCTGAAAAAGTGTGGCCCGCGTGAGATCAGTAGAAAATTTCAAAATGGACTTGTCTTTGCGCGTTTTGGAAGGTTCAAACGAACATCTCACGTATTTGTGTATAGTCGCATACCCCTTATCAACGACATGAGTGGACAAATCTTCCTTCCTTTGATTATTTTTGTAAACATATCGAACTATGTTATAATTGAAATCATCTGAAACGTCAGTATTTACCATCGAAATCGGTTTTGCCGTGTCAGTGTTTTCAATACAGAATTTTTGCACAGGTAGACTCATCCGTCCCGACTCGCTGTCAACATTTTTCAAAAAATTATTAAAACTGTAGCTGCGCAAAGGTACAATATACTCGTTTAATTCCAAAGTGACGGCATACAAAGTTTGGCCAAAAGTCCGTAAAAGACAATCGTTTTCGACGATTGATCGTGTGACCAGACTGTCGCCTTTCGGGAAATTCCACGGCAAGAAAGTGGCTTGCAAACCTAACCTTGTCGAAAGATTAGTGATAATTTTAACCAATCGATGTGGAACATCCCTGTTATAAAAAATAAACGAATCAATTCCAATCAATTTATGATAACTAATGAATTCCACGAGCCGTCGCTTGCTATAAATCGACGGCGACACACAAATAGTGGTATTAATATGCACTTGATGATTAAACGAATTCGTCAACATTATTTTCTTCAACTCACTATCTTTCCGCGTTTTGTAACTGAACGAAACAGCATATGGCACATGTTCACTGTTGCTCATCTCACAAATGTAGAAATACAAATTCAGTCGGACGTTTTCATCACTCATCACTTTGGAAAACTTGAATTTCCCAATAATTGCCTTCTTCTTGTCCTCAAACCAGAAGTAGCAATTCCGAGGCACCAGTTTTTCATCGCTGAGTAAAGTCAAAGCCTTGGCTTCGTTTTGTCGGGTAAGAAACGCGGAATAAATATAACCACTTTCATGCTCTTGCCACACGGGAGAAGGGCCCCAATCGTGGTGACTCAATATGTTTTCGGTTTGTTGCAAGTCAGAGATGTTGCACGGTTGTCCGAAAAAGTTAAACACTTCTAATACATAATGCAAGCGGTTGTATTCATGCCGATAAATCAGGAACAAACTCAAACTCACAATAGAAATAATTAATAACATAAGCTGATGGTATTTTTTCATTATTTAGATTGGTTCGATTATGACATTATGCGATTTTGAGGTTAACATAAACATATGAGTTTGACGTTTCGTGGATAATTACAGGACGTAATCCAGGACCGATAATTAAAAACATTTTTTTAACACTTATCTGTTAATTTATTCAAGGAAGTGAACAAAATACTTTGTTACTGTGCAGCGGTTGATTATCTCTGAATTTTTTATGATTTTTGTTTACCCAATTAATAAAATGATTTATGTCCTTTGTATAGTTTGTTTTTTCCAATTCTTGCCCCCCCAGTGAGGCCAATGTGAACGACATTTTATTTTTGATAAGGATTTTATTTGTGAAAATTTATGTGTAATTTGTATAAATGACTTTAAATAAAACAGTAGTCTTTTCAATACAAGACTGAAAATGAGTTATATTAGTGATTTGTCTCAATCTCAAGAATACCTTAGTTTTAGAAGTAGTGTTCCATTAAAACGAGTAGTAGTTGATTCAGATAACACAAAGGTTTTTTCATGTAATAATCTGTTGTTACTTTGTACTTTTTTGGGGTCTTTAGGGATGGAGAATATATGATTGTGGTCCTAAGAAGGTAAAATGTCCATTAATTTGTCTTCCTCCTGCATCAGGGACTGCAGATATATTTTTTAAACAAGCTCTTGCGTTATCAGCCAAAGGAATCAGAGTGATTTCAGCCGAAGCCCCTGTCTATTGGAATGTGAAAGAATGGTGTGAGGGTTTTAGGAAACTTCTTGATTATTTAGGGATTGTTAAAGCTCACATTTTTGGGGCTTCTCTAGGTACTTCAAATAAAATAAATAAGTGTTTGCTGACAAACTATATTACAGGCGGATACTTGGCTCAAAAATTTGCTGAATACACAATAAAATGTCCAAGAGTAGCATCTCTAATTTTGTGCAATACATTTACTGACACTGCCATTTTCAATAATCACGAGTCTGCAGCAATTTTCTGGATGTTACCAGGCCTCGTTTTGAAGAGAATGATTATGAGTAATTTCGGATCAGCAAAGGTTGATCCAGAAATGGTTGAAGCCATTGACTTTATGGTTGAAAGGGTAACAAGTAATTTTCTCATTTACCAATTTTAATCGTCATTTTCAGTTGGAAAGCCTTCCTCAAACTGAACTTGCCAGTAGACTTACACTTAATTGCCTTAGAGGATATGTGGAAGCTCACAAACTGGCTGATCTTCCCATTACTGTCATTGATGTATTTGATGAATATGCCTTATCAAATGCTGTAAGAGAAGAGCTTTATAAATGTTACCCTAATGCTAAGTTGGCTCATCTTAAGACTGGTGGAAATTTCCCATATTTAAGTCGTTGTTCCGAAGTAAATTTGCATTTACAGGTGAAAAAAAACTCTTAAAATAAAAAAAACTAAAAGCGAAATTTTAGATTCATCTGCGACAGTTTGACGATTCTGATTTCTCGTCATCAGACCGACCACTAATTAACCGTTGTTGAATTTTTACCATTTATATTTTTGTACATAATTATAAATATTATATTAAAAAAATAACAAGGACACCAAATTCCATTTAAGAATAAAACACTACTTTGTACAAGCTTTAAGTATTTCTTCGCCATTCGGGTATTCCCCTAAAAAACACAATAATTCAGAATAGATACAAAATTATCGGCTTACAATTTTGGGACTTGTTTAATGTTTGGGACGTAAGCACAAAAGTTTCCTTCTAGAAAATTATTTTTTGAAGTGCGCAATAACCACTGCTTGGTGGGTTGTAAAATTCTTTTTGGATCTTTTGGTACAGAATAACTCGATTTACTTCTGATCGATATTTGTGGTTTTTTCAACTTGCTTGATCGCATTCTTCCAATATAAATATCGTCTTGCGATTGAAATTGTTTGATCAATTTGTTAGCTTCAAAAGCTCTACAATAGTTTAATGTTCATTAATTGTTTTTTTATACAGGGTGTGTCAGAACTCGCGCCCCAGAGAAAAATTTCAAGGAAGATAAGATACCAGGAACATGGAAAAATTGTTTAAAAAATTCTATCTGTCAAAAAATTTTGACATTTGACTTTTTTTTATGTCTAATGATACTGATGATCTAGTATATGTTTTTTTACAATTATTTAGTAAAGGGACAAAAATTTTGCCAATAAAAGCCACAAATAACATTATACAGAGTTACAATTAATTTAGGATACAGCTTCTTTGTTTCCTCTTCTAATAGTCTGTAGCAAAAAAACTTGGAAAATTATTTTTCCAACAGAAATAAATAGAGTCAAAGTGCAAAATTTAAACCCTCATAACTTCGAAATTTTTATAGATAAATTTTTTCCATGTTCCTGGTATCTTACCTTATATGGCATTTTTCTCTGGGGCGCGAGTTCTGGCGCACCTGTATACCACAAACCTTATTTTTCTTTGTTGCTCCTCTATCACTTCCTTTTGAATTTTTTCGTTAAATTCGTTAACAAGTTTCTCTTCTTTCCATTTTGTCACTGTTTCTTTTATTTGGTAATGAAGTCGTTTTTTATCGATTTCGAGTCGTTTCATTTTTTCTTTTCTTGTTTCCTCGATTATTTTTTCTTGTTGACGTTTTATCTCCTTCTCGGCCTTAAAATAAAAAGTAAAAGGAATAGAATATTGAATGTTTTAACAAGGTATAACTTTCCACTGAGCGATTTTCTTTTGAACATCTTCGTCAACACATTTTTGAAATATTTTGTGTTTTATTTTATTCACACAAACTTCTTCATCGTTTTTGTTTTCTGACACATTTGCTTTTTTTACTTTGCGCCATTTATCGAGAGCTTCATCTTTTTTTCTCTTCAAAAATAAATATTTTGTAAACCAAGCTTCGTGTTCTCTAACCGCAGTAGGAGTGATATCTGCAATGATTATTTTTAGACCATTTTCAAATTTTTTAAGACAAAAAATACCAGGTAAAAGTCTGTGTAAATTAACAGATAAATCATCAACGCTTTTGTATTTATTTCGAAACTTTAAAAAAAGTTGATGATCTTCAATTGTCCATCCATTTTCGTGACCATTGCTTTTGTTAACAAAATCCATAAATTCTTTCACTTCCTAAAACATTGTTTTGTCATCTTAATACCAAATTGGATAAATTTACTTTATAGTCACTATCAAATTTTAGCGATTTGTTGTAGGTTTTATGGTTATTAAGCCTGGAAACACTTATATTTTTTTCCCACTCTGAGATTTTATTGTTAAACGTTTCTAGAACTTCTGACAAACTTGCTTCTTGTTCTTTTAATGTTTCATAATCAGCTACGACTTTTATTTTTAAATTATAAAGTTTCTCCTGAAGATCAATCATTCTCTTTTTAAAATAACGAATATCTAAAATTATTAATAAATGAAACTTGAAAAAAAGTAAAGTTTGCCAGACCCAATAACTCTACATTTCCCTCTTTTAAGAGTGTTTTTTCCGCATTTAACAACAACCAAATTTCTTTTACATGATTTGCAAGTTGCTGAGTTTCATTTTTTCTGCAAAATAAATAAATAAATACACAAAAGATAGTCATTTCAATACTGTACCTTTCATTTTCTAAAGTTGAATAAAACTCGTTCAAATCCAAGTCACAGTCATATTTCGTAAAATGGTTCGATACTTTATTACTTTTTTCTAAATATTCTTGCGCATTTTTTAACTTGTTTAGTTCTGCTAAAAGTCCCGAGTCCATTTTATTTGTTTGTATTGATAAACCTGGATACGTGGAATTACAAACACCCTGTATCGGAATTTTGAAAATTTTGTGCCGACCGGTACAGTAGAAATCGTCTTTACCGATTGTGCCAATTTTTTTTATAACCGGCATTTAGAGGTTATGGTACATTTGCTTGGATTAGGCAAGTTTCCTTGTCTGAGTACATTTGTAATCGTTGAAAATTAACAAAATGTTTTCGAGACAACTTTTAAATACATGTAGAACTATATTAAGGGTAAGTGAGGCAAATTTTGTATGCATTGTAAATTTCTGATTTGCAGCAACCCTCAACTGTTGATTTGATTCAAAACAACACATTTCGGTCTGTAACCGTACGACACAGATCTTACACTCCAATAAACACAATTGTTATGTTTGTGCCACAACAGGAAGTATGTTGTTACAGAAATTAAGTAAAAGTTTTATTTTTCATAATTTCAGGCTTGGGTTGTTGAGAGAATGGGGAAATTTCACAGGATACTTGAACCCGGCTTAAACGTATTAATTCCAATTGTAGATAGGGTAAAATATGTTCAAAGTTTAAAAGAAATAGCGGTCGATATTCCCAAACAAAGTGCCATCACATCAGACAACGTCACACTGAATATTGATGGTGTACTATATTTAAGAATAATAGACGCTTATTTAGCAAGTTATGGTGTTGAAGATCCCGAATTTGCAATAACTCAATTAGCCCAAACCACAATGCGATCAGAATTGGGCAAAATATCCCTAGATAAAGTTTTCCGGGAGAGGGAAAATCTGAATGTCTCCATAGTAGACTCAATAAACAAGGCAAGCGAAGCGTGGGGCATGACCTGTTTGCGTTATGAAATCCGTGAGTTTTTCTTTAAACCAATTGCACTTCAGTTTAAAATCCAATTGAAGGTGACATCAAATTGCCCCCAAGAGTCCAAGAAGCCATGCAAATGCAAGTGGAAGCTGAACGCAAAAAACGTGCTGCTATTCTCGAATCTGAGGGTGTCCGCGAGGCTGACATCAACGTCGCTGAAGGTAAACGAAAATCGAGAATTCTAGCTTCTGAGGCCGAGAGACAAGAGCAAATCAACAAAGCTGCCGGAGAGGCAGCTGCGATTTTAGCCGTTGCTGAGGCACGAGCCGGGGGGCTGAAACTAGTAGCTGAGGCTCTTAAAAAGGACTTGGGTCCGAATGCAGCTTCTTTGAGTATAGCAGAACAGTATGTAAATGCGTTTGATAAGTTGGCGAAGACAAATAATACGCTTATTTTGCCGTCAAATGTTGGGGATGTCTCGAGTTTGGTGGCACAGGTAAATGCGAGACATTTGTGGGGCTTTGTTGAAAGTTTGTTTCAGGCCATGTCAATTTACTCAACGATCTCAAAATCGCAAGGCAATGTTAATGTGAAAAAAATCGATGATTGTTTGAATTCTTCCCAAAATGATTTGGCGGAACTGTTCAGTGATGACGAGGAAAGGAAAAAGCACAAAGATAGCAAAAATCAACCATCGCTTCCTCTCTTTAAATAGATTTATTGTATGTTTTGATATTCATTATTGTAGAGAACAACATCAATTAAATTATTTTATAATTGATGTAACATTTTTTAGATCCTGTATCTCATTCTACAAGAAAACGAAAACTTTTTAGAATGCTTCAATCATCGCAATATCTCATGTAAAATTGTTGAGGAATTTCAATTTGTAAATCATTTTCTATTTCGGTGTCACAATGAGCATTTTGTGCAACTGAAAACAAAATAACATTTAAATGATTTTTTTTTTATTTTTTTATATACTGTATAGTATATCAACATTTTTTTCTGAGTAAAATGACTAATCAGTGATTTAAATTAGGCGAATTGGACTTACGTAAAATGTTTCGAGATGTCAAATAGTATTGAGAAAACAGAAAAATATCATGTAGTATAGAAATTATCAACTGATTTATTTATTTACGGGAAAACCCATGATTACAAGTTATGAATACATAGTGTACACACTAGAAAACATAATATAAATACCCTATCTAGCCCAAACTAATAAAATTATTTAATTAATTTCCTTAAAAAACTTTTAAGTCTATTGTATTTATATAAAAAAAGGTCAAATTCCTCTTCGTTGTTCAGTAGGTTTGCGTCTAATAGGACTGTTAAATGTTATGTTGGTGCAGGAAGTTGAGATCTAAATAAGTTTTGACTCCTCTAGTTGATTAACAGTCACAAGAAAGAAATTTTGCACAACAAATTTGAATTTTCCAGATGACCATTAACAAGACTACAAACAACACAAATCGGAATTTTTTTTTCGAGACTCCAATATATTTGGAACCCAAGAACAGTCGCCTTGATGATGTTGACACCCCATTTTGTGTTCTATGCATCGCAAGAATTTCCTTTGAACTTTCTCATATCTGTAAAAGGGGGACCATATCATCGAGCAATACTCCAAAATAGAGCGGACTAGAGAACAATACAGAACTTTAAAAGAAGTTGCAGATAAGTCTCGAGAAGAACGCCAAATAAACCCCCACATTTTCATAGCTTTGTTAAAAATATGTTGATAGTGGCTCTTAAATGTCAATTTGCAATCAAAGGTCACCCCAAGATCGCGCATTTCTTTTACATATATTTATTTTTGTCATTAACAGTGACATACCTCTATTTTGGTTTCAATTAAAAATAAGGATCTTAATGATCAGATTTTTAGGTCGAAACTAAATAATAATTCTTCCACAGTAAAATAAATATTATCATAACTCTTTTGAATTCGGGATAACTAAGCTTAATAAACCAATTTAAAATACTATGAGAAATAGTAGATTTTTTATTAGAAAAAGTAATAAATGACACTTATTGATATTTAAATAAAATTTATTGATATTGCACCACCTGTACAAGCCCATGACTTGATTGAATAGTTGAAAAAATCTTTAAGTCATCGACGAAAAACAAAAAGTGAGAAGAAGTGAAGCATTCGCTTAGATCATTAATATTTAAAAAGAAGAAACAATATAGGACCCCAATGAGAACCCTAAGGCACACCAGAAGTAACTTGCAACCAACAAACAGTGGAATTCTTAAAACCAAGTTGAGAGAGTTTATCAATTAATATTTTTATGTTAACACGTATATTAGATAAAAAAGGAAAAGTGTTTTCTACACTTTTTCAAGTGTAATTCAGAAACCATCACATGTAATTCAGATTAGTCAATTGTCTTTCAGAAAATGTTAATTGTAAATTCAGAAGAGTAAAGTGAGTTTCAGAAACCATGAAATGTAATTCAGATCAGTTAATTTAATTTCAGAAAGTATAAATTGGAATTCAGATTAGTCAATTGTATTTCATAAAGTAATAATTGTAATTCGCCAGAAACCATTACATGTATTTAGAACAGTAAATAAATTCAATTTCATGTTACATGTAATCCAGAAAATATCAATTGTAATTCAGATATTTTCAGAACTAAAGAATTACATAAACTTGCCATTTTGCAAATAAATAAGATATTTTATTTTCGTAATGTTATTTATTATTTTTTAGTTTTATATTTTTTAGTATTATTTATTAGTTATTTTCATTTAAATAACGAATTCTGAATTAGAATTGACGAATTCTCAATTACAAATGGCAAACTGAATTATAACTAACACTTTGTGAAGTTAAATTAATTAATCTGAATTACATCTGATGGTTTCTGAAATTCGGTTTACGGTTCTGAATTACAATTAATACTTTCTAAAATATAATTGACTAATCTAAATTACAATTAAAGTTTTCTGAAATATAGGTATCTTACGCTTTCTGAATTACACTTGAAAAAGGTGTACTAGTGCTACATGGTTACATTTAATAATTTCGGAAAAAAAACTCGGATCAAAGGACCAAAATTCTGAAGAAATTGACATTAAGACTGCAGAATAAGATCAAAAGACTTTTTCTGATTCAGTAATTTATTTAATGTCCGATCTTGGATTTATTTTTACAAAATGTAGTAAGTTAATAACACGCAATTATCAAAATCAACTTAGTTTTAGATGGTTTTTTATTAGATAAAATGTTTAGATTATACAGTATGTCCCCGGATTGGGTTTACAAGAGGAAAAAAAATGTATCTTCTATTTTACGCCAAAACAGCAAAAGAAAAACATTTTTTGCTTTACCTAAAACGAGCAAGTCTGTACTTAAATCTTTTTAAATCCTACCACATTGGCGGTTTTATTTATTTGACAACTATATGTCACTTTGACAATTAATTTATTAATTAAAAAATGATAATTCTTGTTAAAAATGACTTTGTTTCTTATCCTAAAGCTGTTTCTTTGAGTTGCCATTTATTAAAATTATATTTTTCACAGATATTTTTGTTATTTAACTTGCGTAAACTCATTTGTCAAGGTGACATCATTGTCAAAATAATAAAACCGCCAATGTGATAAGACTCAAAAAGCAGAGAAAAATTAACTTTTCTTTCTACTGAGTTAAAATAATTATGTTTTAATTACAGATTTGCTGATTTCAGGTAAAGCAAAAAATAATTTTCCTTTGCAGTTTTGGCGTAAAATCAAAGATAACATTTTTTTTCCTCTTGTGAATTTAATCCGGGGACATACTGTATACGAGTAATAATGAACCTGAAAAATTTTTTGAAGCAACCAACATTACATTTCATAGATAACGTGGATATTAAAATATTTTGTTTTAATTAGTTAAACAAAGTAATCGTATTTTTATTTTTGATAAATTTCTATCAGTCAAAATGACTACTCCAGTTTTAGTTTTACTTCGTCTATTTGGATATTTTTCCAAATGAGAACATTTTTGATAAATGAGAATCTTATTGGTGTTTTCGGCAAAATTTTAGTAATTCTCAGCAAATTTTTAATTTTATACATTAAAGTTGAAGTGTGCTGTTTGGTCACTGTATGTACAGGGTGTTTCACATAACTTTACGAGGCTTGCGCCTAATGTACGCACCCAAATATACAAAAGTCACAGAACACTGTATACAAAAAATACAAATTAATTATTTAATTTTTGGAAACCCATGACAGTACTTGTCAAACTAATCACTGTTTCATTAATAGTCATAAAGTGCAGTTTTTCAGAAACAATTATCATTTGTTCTATCAAGAGACGGCATGAATATGATTCTAGTTTATCTATCTTAATCACTAACTAACTAAAAACGTTGTAATTTTTTAAAGGGTGAACAAACTAGAGAAGATATGTATGTATTATTGATTGCATCTTACAGGCGCAGGCCTCGTAAAATTACGTGAAACACCCTGTATGTTTTATTTATTAAAACTAAATATTTTAATATCCGCGATATCTTTGAAATGTAATGTTGGTTGCTTCCAAAATTTTTTCAGGCACATTATTACTCTGGGACACCTGTATAAAAAAATGAAAAAAATGAAAATACTCTTTTCTTGCCATTTCCAGAACTTAGGCAAGTATTTATAGAGTTTATATAAGATAAGATTAGAATTTCTTTGTTGACTAGTCAACAGCATAGCACATAAATAACCAATTTGTCAAAATATGTATTAAATATTAAATCATTTTTCTGTACCTGAAAACTAAGACGAGTGAATGAGAAACTATGTTAAATATTCATATTAAAGGCTCTATTTTTATGAAGGAAATATTGAAGTGCTAATTTATTTAAAATATTTGCAAAATATACCTATGCAAACCTGGTTCCGTGTAAAAATTAAGATAAATTGCAAATAAAGAAATTAACTAAAGCCAAAGCGTTTCCGGTTTGAAATGCACTTTATTGTGTCGATGCAACTTCCTAGCAATCCTAGAAAAGTGCATTTTTTTGTTTCTCTAAGCGTCACAGTAGGGTTTTAGCAATAATTAGTTTTTCGATAAGAATAAAAATCAGAAAAGTGCAACCAACCCCAAATCAGAGCCGTTTAAAACAGTGAACTTTTGAAATTCCCGCGCTTGTAGTCCGTATTGATTCCGGTTCGACCATTACGTTTTATTTCTAGTCCGCAGTCGCACAGTTTTTGACGAGCCAGTCTTGAAAATTCTCGTGAGCTCGTGTGAGGTGATTTTTTTAAAACCGTAAAAATGTAAGTTTATTCAAATAAAATATTGTAATATATGAATGCGACAATAGACGCTGTCAAATATTCAATCGTGGGCTATTTTTGGACGCCGGAAATTTGACATTTGTTGCATTTTCGCGATTCAACTGTCTTGTAATGGTGGACCATGCCTTCTGCGATATGCGAAACGGGCGCGTTGTGCAACATTACTTTCTAAAAAGGCACAATTTGCAAATTTTCGATATTTTGGGCACAAACCCATTCCTTATTTCGTGTAAAAGTCGAAACAATGGTGAATTTACGACTTTGTCATTTTCCTTGTAGAAATTCGTAAGTCGTTGACCTGATTCCATGTTTATTTGTGCCGTTAATTCAAGCAAAAATCCTTTCTTTGCGTTTTTCTCACTGTGCGACATTTCATATCTTATATCAACTTTTTGCAGGAAATTAATCGAATTCCTCATTTTCAGAAATTTTTGTATGAGTCAAAAAGTAGAAAAACCAGTTCTATCCGGTCAACGCATCAAGACCAGAAAAAGAGGTAAAAAAAACAAAAAAACAACAAAACTCTTCTCACAAAATTTTCGTTTCCAGATGAAAAGGAAAGGTACGATCCAGTAGGGTTTAGGGATGCAATAATCTCTGGACTCGATCAATGCAACAACAATTTTGAAGCAATTTCGCGTTTTTTGGACGGTGCAGGCAATAAACAAGATTATCGTCGATATGGAGAAAGTCTTTTTGACATACTCATCGCTGGAGGCATTCTTGGTAAAAATCACACAATTTTTACACTTTTTTACTAATTTCAAACAGTACCGGGAGGTACACTCTTGCAGGAAGGGGAGGCACCATTCAAAACCTCCGCTTGCATCTTCAATTCACCTGACGAAATAAATATGGAAATTATGAAAAGCTGGGAACAGGTTTTCATTAAACTAATGCGTCGCTATAAATACTTGGAGAAGATTTTCCAAGTAAGTATCGATTTCTTCATGAAAAACAATAATTAGCCCGAAAAATTTGGAGGAGGAAGTGATACTTCCAAATTATTTAACGGTTTTAGGTGACAAAGCGTTCACTTACAAGTTAAAAAAAGTGTAACTGTCTTAAACTTTCTCAAATAAAAAACAATACCACAATCGTTGTTTCCAAGTCGGAGATATTCATTGGGAAATTAGTTTCTTTTTTATTGTATTGTAATTGGACCATGAATGAATATATCACGTGTGCAAATAAATTAAAGAATAAGGACAAGTTTATGAGAGAATTCTAACTGTAAATATGTCACAAGGTTACGAAACTGATAAAAACGTAATTTTTTTTGTTATTTTGGGGGAGCACAAAGTGGTTTTAATTGTGAAATTATAATTTTAATTAATAAGTGGAGGTCAATTCTAAACCAGCCTAAGAAATTAAATGTCAATGACAACCAGGAGGAAGTTTTTGCTTAGTTTTATTTTACTTCGTTTTACCACAGGAAACGGGAAGTGACGTTATAATTGACTTCGTGCTGTTAAATTAATAACTTTAAGAATTTATCGATTTTACTGTACATTTAAAAGAACAGTTATAGTCTTGTCTGATATAAAATTTATACAGTTTAATTTGCAATTTACTGTGGTTTTTCTTCACAAATGAAATGAAAACGTACTAATGCATTTTGAAATTGTTTTAATCCCGGCCCGATTTAAATGTTATGAAATTAATCATCATTTTGTTGTCATTATAATATAAGTAAATGAAAAACTTGTTTAACTTCTTGGTAAAGTATTAATTCAACAAAATGACTTACATTTACAAAGTAATTAATACAATTTGTAGAAACTAGTTTTAAATAGTATTTATTTAGGTACAATCTAGCAAATCACGTGGTTTATTTTTATTTATATTGCCTCGATATTTTGCATGGAATTGAATATCAAAAATGTTTATATCAATAGTTTTATCATTATACGATTCAGTGAAATCATATTATGCTAGATTAGGATTCAATTATGATGTAACACATGAAATATCTTTGATAAATAACTATTTTATTTCTAGACGTTGCTATTAATTACAAACTTTAATAAGTGGTTTATTGTTTTCATTTTTTACTTTAATCTTGTAGACTAAAATAAAACATTGAGAAATAGAACCAAGTACTTATCTGTTATTTATAAGAAAGGCGATTATAATATGATTCAAATGCGTTTTGTAACTACGACGTATAAAAAACGAAAGGCCAGATTTTGGATAATGTCTATAGGGCTTTAACAACTGTGTGTTTATTTGATCAATACAGGGTGCGCCAGAACTCGCGCCCTAGAGAAAAAATGTTAAAAAAAACACTACTACAGTAAAAAATGTGTAAAAGTAACAAACATGATTTTTTAACTTATCTTATGAATTAGGTATGTAAGCTTTTTTGGTGTATTTTACATTTTTTAATCTGCAAACTAATAACAATATAAAGACGTATACTTTTGTGCGGGATAGTACGTACTATTACATGCACTAAGTTGCTTTAAAATTTAAAAAATAATGTAAATATAATATAGATATAATGAGGAATGAAAAAATGGAGAATTTTTTTTTTAATAAAATTAATTAACAATTAACAAATTAACAATCTTTCTTTGCTTTTCAAGTCTCATCACATTGGCGATTTTTTTTTTAAACGATGTTACTGACAATTAATTAATTCAATAATATTTGTTTTTGTTAAAAAAGCTGTTTTTTGACTTGCCATTTATTAAAATTATGTTTTTTTACAAACATTTTTCATCCCAAAAACCTTCGTGTCGATCTTTGAAAACCCTTCAGATCTTGATGAAAACGCTCGTCTTGTTTGTCACTCATGTTCCCTAAATTTTTAGAAAAGAAGTCCAAATGCGAGTGAAATGTTTTTAAGACCTATTTACACCCTTATAGTAATAATTCTGCAATAATTCAGCAACAATTTGAATTTAAATAAATTTTAAATCGGAGTCATTTGTGCAGAAAGCAGTAAAATTATCGTCTGTAACAAAAAAGTGTGATGTGATAGAAAAATTTAACAATTATTTTTGTTTAATTAGCGGTAAGTTAACATAAAAATAATAACTTTTAAAATTACAAACTTACTGGTGAAGCAAAAAATGTTTTCTTTTGCAATGTTAGCGTAAAATAAAAAGTAAAAAAATCCGGGGACATACTGTATAATATTAGTTATTATTTGGTATTATTATTATGGCATTAAATTTACCACTTTGGGATTTTTGCTTTGTTTAGAAGTAATAAAAATAAATATAAAAAACGGAAGAAACTAGCTATTTGCTAATAAAATTAAAAGTAAATCACAAAAATTTTGTTAAGGTAATGAAATACATGGGTATGCATTTTTTTCTCTAAAAGTTGTTTAGTGTTATTTTGCAAATTATAATAATCACCATTTAATAATCTATACTCAATGAAGAAATTTTCAGAAAAAGACCGTTTTGAAGACCCGCTTCCCAACTAGTTAGTCGGAAACACTATTGCAACAAAGCAATCTAGCAGATCACGTGGTTTATTTTTATATTGCCTCGATATTTTGCATGGAATTGATTATCAAAAATGTTTATATCAATAGTTTTATCATTATACGATTCAGTGAAATCATATTATGATAGATTAGGATTAAATTATGATGTAACACGTAACATATCTAATTATTGTAAAATATTTCATGACGTTGCTATTAATTACAAACTTTAATAAGTAGTTTATTGTTTTCAACTACTATAAGACAGGCGATTATAATATGATACAAATGCGTTTTGTAACTACGACGTATAAAAACCAAAAGGCCAGATTTTGGAAAAATGCGATTTTCAACAACTGTGTGTTTATTTGATCAATATAATGCGAAAATGTGTTGTTTCAGGATGAAATAAAGAAAGTGTTGATGTTCGTGAAATACTTCACTCCAGCCGAACGTAAAAAACTGTCTGTGATGGTATATCTGTGGATCTCGAATGGCAGCATTCCGTTCAGTGCTGTCCAAGTGTTGAGTAATTCGCACTTGGTCAAGGACCATTTGGCATTGGATTTCCTGATCGATGTGTTCAAGTATTGGCGTCAGGACAAGGGTGTAAATTCCCTGTATTCAGCCATTAAGAAATCCAACATCGAATCACATCTGATGAGTTTCGTTCCCGATACGAAACAATCTCAGGTGTACTTCCGTAATGCCTTCCAGGAGAACGGACTGGAAGAAATTCTCAAGTTGTACAACGACCAACATCAACAGCTAGCCAAGAAAGAGCTGCAAGTTATGTTGGCCGATAGCCTTTCTGAAAATAAGCCCCAACGCGACATTATCACAGAATTGCGCGAATTTGCTGCTAAAGAGAATATACAAGAACATGAAACGGTCTGCATTATCTGGACTACTCTTATGGATATCCCCGAATGGTCCAAGAAAGAAGTGAGGAATCTAAATTTGTATTTATTGATAATTTTATTTAATTTTTGTTTTGTTTATAGGAACTAGTTACCGACCAAGCTGTCCGTCATTTGAAACTCTACACTAGTTTGTTCTCTGCGTTCACTCAGTCGGCTCGTTCCGAGCTAAATCTGCTCTTAAAAGTACAGGAGTATTGCTATTCAAACATGACTTTTATGAGGGCTTTCCAAAAGATCATTATGCTCTTTTATAAGACGGATGTTATCTCCGAACAGGTTATTCTTAAATGGTATAAACAGGACTACAGCGTTAAAGGCAAGATGATGTTTGTTGATCAGATGAAGCAATTCGTTGAATGGCTTCAAAATGCTGAGGAAGAAAGTGATTCTGAAGGCAGCACTGAGTAGGTAAGCTTTCAAAAAACATTAAGGCTAAAGGGGACGACAGAGTTAAGCCAAGTGTGCGACAATGACAAGTGTATTGAAATTTACTTGGCTGTTTTTAGCGATATTTTTTATCCAATTTTAAATCAAAATATTGAATTACGTTTTAAAGACATTTAAAATTTTCGCCAACGTAACAATTTTTGGAAAAAAAAATTATTTAACTTCGCTCTATTAGAGTGGGGGGATACCTAAAAACTTGAAATAGCTTAAAGCTGGAAGTGAAAGATGCTGGTTTTGTTAGAAGCTAAGATGTAAGTATGTACCAAGGTCGCAATATGACTCGCATCAAAAATTTTGTCAGAGAAAAGTTTAGTTACATTCAAATAAAAAAAATACAAAAGTGGAACAGAAAGTAAGAAATAAATATCATAACTTTTTTAAAAGTAAAAAAAATTGAAATCAATAAAACGTATTTTTTTTTCTATTCTTTTTCTGTTTTCCTTATTTTCATTGACTTACTTACATAGCCTAGGTTCTAGTATTTTTGGTACTAAGGCCTTTGGGTAAATTTTTTTCTCATAACGTGGGATCCGGAAAAATGCGATTAATAGAAATACATTGTTCTGTCCATAAAATAAAATCACAAATTTTTTTATTGGTGACCCGTAATTGCGTTATAATATTCGTGTTGTTTTTTCAATTTATTGTTTTTGTTTAGACAAAAATGAGGTCTCTCTCTTATGGCTTCTTCGATGGTTTTATTTTTTGCAAAAAAGAACACTTAAAGAAAAAGGAAACTGAAATATTTTCTACATGATAAAATTCTCTGAATTTTGTCTGTGGTATTTGTGAAAATAGAATAATGATAAAGTTGAAAGGTTTTGAATAATTACCATTTTAATATTGCAAATTTGAAACTTTCTTGAGAGAAAAAAAGGTTCCGCAATGACATTTATGACGTACCCAAGCTCTATTGTGAAGCCTCCATTCTATTGTCAATGCATTAGCAGCACATCATCCCAAACTTGACCATAAATTTCCAGAATACCCACTTTTCAATATTAAAATATTAATTACCCAAAATCTATCAACTTTTACATTATCCAATTTTCATAGTGACCATTAGAAAAAATCAAGCAAATTTATCATGTGGAAAAGATTCTAAAGTTTGTTTTTTTTTAATGGAAATTACCAAGTCAAAATTTTGGTGAAAAAATTGGTAGCAGCTTGTTTCCATAGCCACAAATTTTGTTTGCTTTTTGTTTTTGTCCCTAGAAATTTTGTTAAAAAATTATGGTTATGTGTTCAAATTGAGATGTTGTCAAAATTTTGACTTTTATGAATCTTGTGTGCCTGTTTGCTCTTTGAAAGCGCTATAATTGGATACCTGAAGACAGACACCATTACCTAAGGTCTAAAGACAGAATTCAGTGCTAATAATTTTGACAGAAACACACCGCAAATAAGTACAATGTTGTGGATAAAAATGAGATTCTTGCTACAAAAACTTTGAAGAAAAAGGGTGTATATACGGAAAAAAGTTATTTAGCAAAAGATACAAGTGGGTATTATGATGAGTGGCAATAAATTTTGTGTAATTTATTGAAATGAGCTCAAAGTTGATGCATTTTATAAATTTTTCTTCAACTTTAATTTCAAAATTGTTACTTTTTCAACTCGTTCCTCAAAAACGATGCACAAGACACTAATTTAATTGCGTTCTGTCCGAGGTTCTTTCTCATTCATGTTTATTTTGTATTCTTGTCAATTTCTTGCTAAAAATTGAGAATGTTTAGCAAACCTGCATTACAAATTGCTTTTACATTTTAACGGGCCCTTTTTCTAACTTCCTGCTTGCGAACTATTCATTTCCAAATTTCTAAAAACTGTTAGCGGTACCGAATTTATTCCTTTTTTGGTGTTTGGTCTCTAAACTTTCTTAGATGATTTTTTGTGTTGACGTTAAATGACATTGTTTTCAAATTAATTCAGAAAACCGGAACTGCCAACTTCCTTTATTAAAATTACCATGAATGAATTTACTAGTGATGCCAACGTTAAGACTGTTTGACATTTCCATTTAAAAAAAAAAAACAGACTTTAATTAATTTTTTTTCTTCCAAATTTGGTTTTTAAAGTCCTGACATACGCTAAAAATTTTGAACAATATTAAAGCATGAAATTGAAGTCTACATAATCCTCTATCGTTTGCACTAACAATTTTTTTTAATTAATTAGAAATATTTATTTTTGGGCCGGCCCTAAAACCTGGGACACTCTGTATAGAAACGATCGAACTAAGGGAGCCCAAGAACTGGTTTTTCTTCTTTTAATTATTTTTCCTATTTTCGAGGCGGTGACTATATTTTCTTTCATTAAACCAATTGTCAGATCCACTTTGTTCCCTAGTAGCGTTTTCGATAAAGTCTCGTTTCTCTTCTGTTACATTCAAACTTGCTACAAAATCTCTAACTTCTTTTTTGAGAATACTTGAATTCAAATGGGGTTGTTTGCAGTTTTCTCCGTAGTCTTCTTGGCCGTCTCTAGTAGGTAACGTTTTATTTTTTCTAGCTTTTTTCTAAGAGAAAAAATTCAATTTCGCAATATTGTGACCAATTATTGGTTCCCCAAAATTATTATCAACAATGTTGTTATCACCTGCTGAAACCCTAATCGTGTATTTTTTTTTATTGTCTAATGTCAACTTAAACGCGAATTCAAATATTTTTTTGTAATTAAATTTTGTAAACTGACCTCAGGAAATGTGGTATAAGAGTTTGCCTTATTTAAAAATACGTATTCTTGGGTAGTGGTATCGATTTTCAAAAATAAAAACACTTTTCTTTTCAGTAAAAAATGGTGATTCGTCGCCCTACCTTGTTTTTTCAAAAATATTTTCTATTATACCTGTTTTTAATATTTTTTTCAAAGAAAAAACGAAAATTAAAAAAGTGCTACGTTGGCGAGTTTTCAAATAATATTTTATGTACGAAACTTTTTTTCAATTATAAAAAATGTGAATAGTTAAAGAGAAAACAGAAATATAAATGCCGCTTTAGCAACAAACTAAAACATGTTCCTCCCCTTTAGCCTTAACGAAAACCAGACAATTATCACAATTTGTGTTAAAAAAATTTGGAGCACAAGTTATATTATTGCCTGGGAAATTAACAACATCAGTACTGGCATTTAGTGGTTTCGAAAACTAAATGTTATCAAAAGATGTAACAATATTTTTGCGAAATTAGTGTCTCATTTACTTTTTTTTGTTACAGATAACACAACCTTCATTGCATCAGTGCCACCAAATTATCAACTAAAAATACCATTTTTTCCAATGTAATTATATCATTGTATAAACATTTCTGGTGCCTTACTATGTTGGTGTGCGGCAGGCAATAGTGACCGGGGATCTGTATTACTTGTACTGACCTCTTCAAATTATTCATATTAAAGTATTACTGCATCGGAAAAAATGTTATTTGTATCAATATCGCCAATATTGTCGACTCAATGTTATATATAAATGATTTATTGTCAATTTTTTTAATATACAAACAAATTTTACGCACGACTTAATTTTTTAACCTAGTTAAATCGCTTTCGGACTTAATCACACTCGAACAGAAAGTAGTTTCAGAAACCTAACCTAACTTAACAAATTGAAATGTGTGGAATATTTTGTTTATTATCATACGACAAAAACAATGAAGAAACATTACTCAACAAGGTTTGTTTTTGCATTTTTGTTTGTATTAAACTAAAAAACTAAAATTTTAGTTTGAGCTGTTCAAAGAGCAAATTTCGCGAAGGGGCCCAAATTCGTTAAACACTGACTTTTGCGAGCTAAATAATTGCAATATTTTGTTTGGTTCAAGTGTCTTGTGGCTTCAAGGGACTGATATTACGACACAACCTTATAAAAACGACAATTCTGTCTTTGTGTACAATGGGGATGTTTTTGGGGGTTCCCAAATCGGACGACAATTAGAAAATAGTGGTGCGGGAGATACGAGACTATTTTTTGAAGCTTTGGAAAATTCGGAGGATATTTTAGAGACATTAGGTGGTATTGAGGGGCCCTACGCCTTCGTGTACTTAAATAGAACACAAAATAGGCTTTATATTGGCCGTGACGTTTTTGGCAGACGTAGTCTTCTAATCGGCAGAAATCAAAATGAACTTGTAATTTCGAGTGTTGCCAAAAGGGGTACACAGTTTGAGTTTAAGGAAGTGCCAAGTATTGGCATATTTTTCATTGATCTTGATACAAAAACGTGGAAGATTTTTCCATGGCGTCGGAAAAACAAAAACTTCACTGAAAAATTACAGGAATTTGAGTTATTTATTAGTCAGACTGTGTTAACACAATCTGTTACATTTGACCAAAATAAAATCTTCATTCCTCCTAGTGAAACACAACTAAAACTGTTGACTGAAATTTTAAATCTGCCAGCGGGTGATTTATTTAATTTTTTGTTTAATTCCCCGTTTATGAAAAATATTTTACAATTGAAAGAACTTCTCAAAAACAGTATAAAAAGACGTATTTTGACCCAACCAAAATTTTGCCAAAATTGTTTCAAAAAATACGACTGTGATCATGCAATTACTGGAATTTTATTTTCGGGGGGTGTCGATTGTGCCGTTTTGGCCCTTCTTGCGAGTACAATAATCGACCCTTTGCGTCCTATTGACTTAATTAATGTGGCTTTTGAAAGGGGGGGTTCTTATGATACCCCCGATCGTATTACCGGATTTAACACCCTAACAGAATTACAAAATTTGTGTCCTAACCGGAAATGGAATTTCGTTCAAGTTAATGTAACACGAGACGAGTTAGACCAGTGTAGACGTGCCCGAATTTCCGATTTAATTTATCCATTAAATTCCATTCTTGACGATAGTTTAGGTTGTGCTTTGTGGTTTGCCAGCCGAGGAGTAACCCCGGATTACACATCGCCTTGTAGAGTAAAAAAAAAAGTTGCATTTGTCACTTTAAAATTCAGACTTTGTTGGTAGGGATGGGAGCCGATGAGCTATTTGGGGGCTACACGAGACACCGAGCTGCGTTTCAAAAAAACTCTTGGGAGGGTTTGAACGAAATTTTGGACGAAGATTGGCAAAATTTGCCTTATAGAAACTTAGCCAGGGATGACCGAATGGCCTCAGACCATGGGCGACAACTCAGAACGCCTTATTTGGACGAAGAAGTTGTGACATTTATACGCAATTTGGACACTTGGGACAAGTAAATGTGAGTTTTGGGGTGATATTTGTCAATTTAGTGATTGCAGGACCTTTCCGTCAATGAAATTGCAAGGATTTGGGGAGAAAATTCTGCTTAGAAGCCTTGCGTATCATTTGGGACTTACAAACGCCGCTGTTTTAAAAAAACGGGCTTTGCAATTTGGTTCAAGGATTGCAAATTCGAAAGATAAGGGACACGAGATTTCTCACAATTTAGTAACTTAGTTGCAATAAAAAATTGGAAAGATTTAAATATTTTGTTGCAATTGTTGCATTTTTCCTTGAACGTAAAATCCTCATCTTTGTGATAAGACTTATGATTATTAATGGCGTGAAATATAAAACACCCGTCATATAGTGACAAATTAATGTTTTATGATAGGTATACTCTTTTTAATAATGACAAAAGTCGTTATGTTTGCCACCCTATGTTAATTACGATGTTAATATTAATTATTTTTTGCTACCTCCAAAAACTGGGGTACACATACTTATTTGGGAAAATAATTTTTAGGGAAGATTGAGGTTGGGATTGTTTGAATTTTCGCATGGTTGCCACCTTAAAATGCTCCCTTTCAACGACTACTTCGATGCACATTAATTTGAAAACGATTATACCACAGATACTACGGCGAACATGTTAAAATATTGTTCCCCTACTGTTGCTAAATATGTGACACATACAGGGTGATTCACGAGGGATAATGAGCCTGACCAAATTTTCGATGCAACCAACATTACACTTGTTGCTAAATAACTTGAAAAGTAATGGTGGTTGCATCGAGAATTTGGTCAGGCTCGTGAATCACCCTGTATAATAAACTGTTGTCTCAAATCAGGATACTTTCCCGATTTTTGGAAGACAGCCATTGATCGTACTTTGCCTAAAGTTAAAGAGCCAACTTTTTGTTCTGACTTAAGAATAATTTTGTATCTTGTTTGTTTTGTAGTTGTTTTCAGGCAATTTACGACTATTTGGTGTCTTCCAATATCCATAACGGCAATCAGTCAGGTTTTAGAAAGAACCACAGCACAACCTCGGCCTTGGGTGTTGTTCTGGATGATTCTTTGAAAGCTCTTGATGAAGGTAAAATTAAAGTAATATCATTTTGCTAAGACCTACTAAAAATTTTATGACACATTATAAGGATTTTTTTATCAGGGGCGTCCTAAACTGGGGGGGGGGGGGCATAAGGTAAAAAGTATTCTAATTATTTTTACTTTTTTGATACAAGTTAATAGGAAAGTTTTGCCTTAAAATTGAATGTTCTATTTCCTGTTTAAATTTGTAACAATAAAAATGGAACACCAAAACTCACTTTGACATCTATTCTGTTGCAGAAACAAATACTAAACGGGAAGGTTAAATTTGTAACACAAAAAGTGCTTTAAATATATGCAATATATTTAATTAGGTACATTTATATAAATTAGATGACATTTATATAAATGGGCCAAAAAGTGTCTCTTATCATCGACAACTTTATTTGTTTAAAATATGATAATATATGTAATTTGCTGAATAAAATTTGTTAAACTTCACTAAAAATTAGCAGTTGACACTTTTTAACGCACTTCATGACTAAATTAAATTAAAATTATCACAATATTAAAAAATCATGACCAAGCTAAACATATAATATTATAAAACAACAATTGCGTTTTTAACAGCTGTACATAGTAAACTTGGCTTATATACACTTTGACTAGTTGCATAACTTATCGGCTAGTGTTTGATAGAACCATAGTAAACAGTATGACCGTTAACTTTCTATAACTTCAGTCTTTTTCCCATATTTCCGGTAGATTTCGAACTAACAAAATGGAATAATTTATACAATATGGTCACGGTTGAAAAAGTCACTCAATCCCAGGTGGCCTTGACAAATAGTTTTATCATTGCCCATTACAGAAATAATACTTTACGGATCCTTGCTCTAACTAAAACTATATTTCGCTGGTCAGGACAAGTATTACTAGAAAAAGTTTATTTCTTTGGTGGATTTTCAAAGCAATACTTGTAAACGGTTTTAATAATGCGCCGCCATCACCTGATCTGCGAAAGTAACCCTTTTCTAGCTGGGTTGAGGCGGTACTAAGGGTGCGTTCTGGTGTAACGCACTAACAGGCCGACTTTTCGGCGTTTGGGCCCTTCGTATTTCCACTGCATCACCATGGAGCACCTCCATGTACTCCCTTATCAAAGTCGCAATTTGAAACGCTTGGGCAGTGGTCAAAATAACTTTACTTTGTTTCTTATCACTTCCGGTTATTATCATCAGATAGTTAAGTGCCGGTGCGTAACTCAAAATACCCCCATAATCATAGGTACAAAGTGTGTTTCTTGAACGATGTTCGAGGAGGTGGAGGCCTTTTTGGTCGACGGCGAGCCAAAGGACTCGAGGCCAGTTCGAAGTGAATGATTGCTAAAATTGAGACAGTTGTTATTTGGAAGGTTTGAAGATGAGAATTTGTACCATAACGTCGAAAATTGTAGCTTTATGCAAAGGCCAGCTTTGGATGAGGTTTAGGAACGCTTGTTTCGCCTCCGATGGGGTCATTCCCCGGAGAGATTGATGGTGCATCGCTACGCCCTCTTGTGGTAATATTGGAACAAGTCGGGCTGGTAAACAGTGACAGGCGATGGGGCGGTAGTCGTGGATTTGTTCATTCACGTCGCCGAGTTCAAGTTGAGCTTGGAGGGCAGTTAGCATCATCTGAAAGTTAAAAAAATTATTTCCACTTTGTACCTAAACTCTTTTTCATATTAATGTGCATCAAGTAGGTTGTAGAAGTCTAAATGCGTCTTTAATTTAAAGGACGATTCACACAAAAAGTGTCATTAATGTCATTCAGAACAAATTTAATCACATCAATAATGAGATTTTTTTTTTAAGTTTTCCACCTTATGTTAATTTTAATAATTTTTTGTTAACTCAATTTTTGCATGGTTGCCACCTTAAAATGATCCCTTTCAATGACTACTTCGATACACATTAATATGAAAACGGTTATATTGCGAAGCAATTATCTGAGAGTCTAGTGGAATTTTCTATAAGGTTGGTATTACATCTATCTCTAGCATATACATAACTAAAAACCATTAATCAATTAGCATTAATCAATGAATATATGAAGACCTAAAATGAGGATTACTTTTTGTTACATTGTTATTCATTTTTTTTTATTTTTCTCAATAACAAGCATACCAACCTTTAAAAACACCTGGTGGAAAATAAAGGCCATGGGGAGTTTTAGTTAACAAGAAGATAAAAAATGTAATTAATTGCACATCTAATTCATGCATAAAATAATATTTTTATTTTATTCATTATCATATTATGATTGTGTTTTAAATTTAGTTTTATTTCAATAATATACTATAAAAAATCAAACAATGATACAAGTTTTAGGTATAGTCGAACAAAGTGAAAATGACGCCTCAATAACTAGCCCCTGCTAGGAGGCTAGAAGGCAGGGTCGTAATAACTGTTTTCCAAAATAAAGTTATTTTATAGATCATTTGAAACATTATTGTTTTACATAAAATCAAGTTTAAAATAGAGAAAGCCTATTTCGTACAAAAATTATGTTACTTAATTTAATTTTGGAAAACAGTTTATCAAAAAAAAATTTATTACATTAATAATAATTTGTTTTTTGTCAATTTCATCTTATTAATGCATAATTTTCTTTGAGAAATGGTTTTCGTTAAATTGTTTATTTAAAAAACTAAACATTTTTATTTAATTTAAAAGTATTACAATTAAATAATAAATTTTGTAGCAGAACTAAAATATTTCAAATAATTTAGTGGTTTTTTTCCTGGTTTAATTAAATAAATAATTTTGATTCGTTTTCAATGACAATTACAAAACTAATAGAAAACTTAGAGCCGATTTACAGAACGTGTTAATCGCAACTAAATTTTAATTCGCGATTAACCTGACTTTTGTCAATGCAAAATAAATGTCAACTCAATTCGAATTAGTTTAATTCTGAAGTAAATTTTAATTTCGCTTTCTGCTCAAATAATTAAACGACTCGCAGTAAACGAACACGTGGAACCTTCTTTGCGTAAATAAACAATGATTTAATTAATTTGTTGTTCAAAATATAGAAATCCTATTTCGTACAAAAATTATGTTAATTAATTTTATCTTAAAAAACAGTTAAAAAATTATTAAGTTAATAATGATTTGTTTTTTCATCAATGTCATTATTAATGCATATTTTTCTTTAAGAAATGGTTTGTTTCGTTTAGTTGTTTTTCATTAAAAAAATTCAACATTTTCAAAATAAATGGCAACTAAATTCGAATTATTTTAATTCTGAATTAAATTTTCATTTCGCTTTCTGTAAACCGGGAGCTAAAAGAATTTAGCAGCAGGGGCTGGTTTATTGAGGAGTCATTTTCACTTTGTTCGACTGTACCTTCACGAACTGAATAAAAAAATATATTGTTGTCTGCTTGGATTTTTAGCCTTTGCTAATTTTAGATCAATATTATGTGAGTAATTCCATGCCAAAACGATCACTTTTAAAACTCATTGTTTCTGATTTTCGTAAATTTAAGACATGTTATAGAACGTGTAAAAATAAGTGACACGTATTCCACCGTTTTTTATTTTTTCAATGTATGTTGAAAAAACAGGGATGTACAAAATTAAGTACCTCGTAACAAAAAGAATTTTTATTTAAAGAGCAAATCAACATATTGAAACGATTTTTTTTAAATATAGTCCGGTCAAAATAAACATTTTAAATAACTAAAATTCCGACAGAGCTAAATTTTGGTGGAGATATTGAGTACACCATTAGGAATAAAGTGTCAAAAGTCCCCATCGATCCCATGTGTGCTAAAAAAGTTATTCGGGGTCAAAGGTCGAAATTTGACGTTTTTTAGATTTTTTTCGAAAACGGTAAGTTTTATCAAAAAAGTAGCCCAGACAAAAAATATAGATCTTGAAATTATCTACAAAACGGTCCTTATACTTTTTTTCTAACAATCACCATTCCTGAGATATCGCGATTCTAAAAGTTGAAGGAGTCACGTTCTACATG